TTGCTCCAAGAGGCACGCTTGGCATCCAAGAGGAATGCAGCGGGGCTCTCCAGGCACCCGCTGCCTCAGCCTCTCCTTCAAATCATTTATCCACACCTTTCAGTAAAGCTACCCCTCTCTCCAAAGCTATCAAGTCCCAAAGGAAAAGAAAAAAAAAAAAAACAAACCAAAAAGGGCAGCATGTGGGTCTTGCCAGCTCCAGCTGTGAACGCTGCAGCACACCCCGAAGCTGGGAGGGGTGGAGAAGGTCCCGTTCATCCCCCAGCACTGGCTCTGCTGCGTGTGGGGACGAGAGCTGCATCTTCATCGGGTGCCTCCTGCCCTCTCCGACAGCGTCTGGCCCAGGGCTGCTCCCAGGGAGCCCAGCGCAGCCCCCCGCAAGGCCCCCCAAACCACCTTCAAACATCACCTGCCTGTCCCTAGGAAGGCACCTCCGTGAAGAGGTGTTTTTCTGCAAGAAGAGAAGAGAGGGCTTTCCTCCAGCCCAAGGGGTGCACGGGAGACCAGAGGGCTGTAAATCAGCCTCACTTTGGAGCTGCTAATTGAGCTGCTTCTGTTAACACCCATGCACAAAAGAAGGCAGTGGGGATAGTGGCATTTCCACCGTAACTCTCCCAGTTAGACACAAAACTCTTCAAACAAGACGCTGCGCTGCCCGTGGAGGCTCGGGGATGTCTTCGGGCCCTGCCAGGCACAGGAGCAGTTTGCCTGGGCTCCATGCCCGCATGGGAAAGCAGAGCTGCTCTGGGATCCCTGCCCACCGGGCTTGCGGGAAGAGCCAAAGGAGAGGTTGTGGCTGTATTTGTTGCCCCATCCCGCTCTGCTGAGCAACGCTGCCAGTAAGGGGTTATGTGTCGCTCCACCCCGAGGAAAGGGCAGCCAGCAGCAGCCTGCCTGTGCCTTCCTGCCTCCCTCTGTCTGCCTTTGTTATCCAGGAAACAGTGATGTTTCCACTGAGAAGCTCAAAGTTCTCTTTTTTATCCCCCCCTCCCCCTTTATTTCCCTTTCCAACACAATTTAAGCTCTAAGAATATGTAACAAAAGCATTTGCAATGAGGCCAAGAGGTGTTTTCTTAAGGGAGTAGTCAAGCAGCCTGGATAACGTATTGCTTTAAAATACTTACCTGTGAACATGTTGACAAATCACGTGGAGATGTCTCGGCCATGTATTTTTACAGGTCACTGGTCACCTGAGGTCTGAATTGGGATGGTGGCTGCATAATGCAAAAAGAAGTTGCTGACAGGAAAAAAAAATGCTTTAAATGCTGGGGAATTCTCTTGTAATAGCTTACAGCAGTGACCTCAGCATGGGATAGTGAGATGTTGAGAAGTATTTGGCAAAGACCTCTTGCAATGTCAAATCTCCTCAGGGAGCATCGCGGTTCGTGCATACATCAGAAGAACCAGCTGCTGGTAGTTTCAACTCAATGAAATCCCCTTGCTAAGAGAGCTCAGATTAACCCCTTGAACCAGGCTGTTTTCCTACCTGAGGCCACGCAGGAGACATCTGTACCTGCCGAGACCATCAGGCTCAGACCAGCCCCGTCCCTCTGCCTCTCTGCCACCCGCGTTTGCTGTCCCGTTTTGCCCTGTATTGCCCCAATAACCAACTGAACACCGAAACCTCCCGGGCAGGAGCTGCCCCAGCAGCTGAGCCCTGCGATAGCGGGCCTGCATCTGCTCAGCCGGAGCCGCCGAGGGCGACTTGCTTTATCTTGCTCTGACATCCCTTCCCCGTGCTGCAGAAATCAGGCCAAGCAGATGGCAACGGCAGAAACGAAAGCACATACGGAGGGGAGCCTGACCCGTGCTGCTCTGTGCACCTACGCTGCCAGGCTCGGACTGGAACGACATGAGGTTTCCAGCAAAACCAGCCAGCTTGTTTTGGGGTTGAGCTGCCGGAGCTGCTCTTGGCTTTCCATGGAAACGTGCCCTCGGCTCCCGCACGCCCCTGCCATCCCCGTGCAGGGCAGCAGCCTGGGACGTCGCCCACAGCTCCCAAAGCCTTTCTGGGACTGACCCCCTGGGTCTGCCCGGGCTGAGCGGGGGAGCCGCAGCAGAGGGGCTGCAGAGCTGGGGACCGGGATGGTTAAATAGGATTAAGGGCAGGTATCCATCGCTCCAGCGTTCCTCTTCAGACCACTTACTAGAAACACTCACATTCCCAAACATCACTGCACAGATTGTCTTTCTTCCTTTACTTTTTTTTTTTTTCTTAAACCAAGTTAAACTGGCATAGGAGGCCGTTTAGAAAATAAATAAGAGTGCTGATAAAGAACTGATTGAACAGCAAATCTGACCATTATCAAGACATCTCTAAAAGCCGATACCTTTCTTAAAAGAGCATAAAATATGAAAAGGGAACAGCAGGCAGTTGAATTCACAGGCTACCCTTTATAAACAATTACCATTTATTACTAAATGTAAATAAAAACCCAGAAAGGCACCTAAATTTAAGGCAATTAGTACTCTGTATAGGACAAAGATGGTAAGCAGCCAACAGCATAAACCTGACATTTCCAGTTTCTCTGTTGCAGTGTGACAACACTGGAGAGTATATCTAGCAGTTACTTCTCTGTGTCTGCGCGTAGTCGATGTGCTAACAGCCTGCGGCGTTACAGAGCTGCCTTCCTCCCTTTGGAAAGCTAAGTAGCTCCTTTACAATATGACATTAGTAGATACACAAACCGCTCATGGCTGTTATCTTTCATGTAGTCTGAACAGAAATATAAACTGCGAAGAATTTATGCCTGATACAAAAAAAGTTTTTGCTAAACAAGGTTCTTAAAGTGCTGGATATAAAGATCAACATTCCATTTAGCATGTAAAGTACTATGATTTCCTAAAATAAATAAGCACATAACTTTGCAAGACAGGGAAGTCAGTATTTTGCTTTCAGCACAACCCAGCTGGCAGCTAGCATAGGTGTATGTGCAACCGGACCGTGCTGCAGCCAGAAATTCCTGGTAAGTCAGGGGACCCAGCAGAGGGATTTGGGTCTTTTACAGCCCGTCCAGTGAGTCTGTTTTTATGGTGCTTGTTATGGCAGCAGGTCGGCGTTGCTAGTGAGCAAGGAAATGTGGAAACACCAAGTCAAACAGGTTGTGACATAACTGAGCTCTGTCAGAAATTCTGCAGGAGGCCTGAGGAGTTTCTGAGAAACTGCGGCTTCCCACCCCCAGCCTGAGAAAAGGCTGGTCGGATCAGTAGGGAATCATAACTGGATTCGGGATGTTAGGAAGAAATTACTGAAAGAGAGGAAAAACTGACAGGAGAAGTTGGAATTAGCCAACTCTTGCATAAGCAATTTTCAATCAATTTCTTGGAACATTAAAACATATCACAATTAAAAAAATACATTTTGTATGTGCACATGGGACAGGCCTGATCTAGCTTATTCTCTGTTTTAAAGCAAAGTGTAGGAGTCCTAACAAGTATGACCATCGCATGGGGCACTTTAGGAACAGAACACAGCGAAGGGTTGGCATGCTTTATGCTTACAGTGCTATTTTTGTTTGAAAAGATAACAATAGATTTAGGTAGGTGGGATCCCATTTAACTGTGTGTCTTGTCTACATCTGCAGTGAGATGGCAGGAGGAGCAGGACATTCCAGTTGTCTTTGCAACCATGCAAGGAAAATGCAAATGCCTCCCCCCTTCCAGGGTTTCTTCCACGGGGGTCCCTTTGTCACGGTGTCACTGGAGGGGAGCAGCCCCATCACAAGTAAACTGCTTCAAAGCTACAGATAAATCTTTCTGTGCGCTTCCCATGGGCCGTATACGCAGCTTGGGGGGAGGAAACGTTCACATGAAGATTAGTCCGGCTGTAGTTTCAAGGAGGGTTAAGCTTTCTGCCCACATTTTTAAAAACCCACCCAGTTTGGGGGTGAATTTTAGCACTGCGCTTTAGAAAGGCCCAAACCAATTTCTCCTTCAAACACTAGAGGCTGTTGTTGGGCATCGTTCCACTTTCCCCCAGCTCATCCCTTGCTCCAGCCTTCTGGCACCGAGGGGCTGATTTTACACGACCCGTGTTTTGGGACAGGAGAGCCAAGTTTCTGCAGTAAGACACAAAGCGGCATTTCTCACACATCAGATCGTGTGTCAAGCTGCTGCTTTGACATGATCTCCTGAAGAAGTGCTAGGAATGACAAAAGAGTAGAAAAAGAAAAACCAACAGGAAGAGATTTTTAAATCAGTCTTTGTTCTGAAGTGACATAATAGAGCAAAGTAAAAACTTTTAGGCAAAAAAAAGACAAAGTTTTCCCCTTTCCTTCTATGTTGTATGATCTAGGATGCTTCTAGCTTTCACTTGTTCCTACCAAGGACCCACCGTCACCAAACTTCATCTCCTTTAAAGCCTGCAAAGCCCTTTTCATACACTGATACCACTGCAACATCTTTCCTACGTACACTTCCACAAGCGCTCAACCATGCAGCCCCGTTACCCTGCCTTTAACCCTGCAAGTGGGATTCTTTGATTCCTTGTTTAACAGTCCAGACAAATACCTTGGGGTTTCGGTCACAGGCGAATGCTAGCAGGTTGGAACAAACCCCAGCTTTGAGAAATGATGCAGCAATGGGGAAAATCCCTCCTGGCCACGCTGCACCTGCACGGGGGCATTTCTGGACCTGGGCTTAAGCACCAGCCTCATCACATTTGTGTAACAGCCCCGGGCTGGGCGGGTTCACACACAAAATCCACCATGGCAGGGGTGACAGATTTTCTGGTTTTTGACCCAAGAGTCATGGCTCAGGGATGGGCAAGTTCAGCTTGACCCAGACACCAGAGAAATGCTTTTCATCCGGTCTCCAGTTGGGTAATGAGACCCTCCAGTGGGTGTTTTGTCTTTATTACTTACAATTTACATGCTTATGGTTCCCACCCAGACACTGTTTCCAACACAACTGGCACTCACCCTTGTTACAGGTAAAATAATCCTTTGCAACGGATGGGGAATCTGTTGTAGCAGCACTTCTGCCATGTCCGGCTTCTCCTGGCTGCCCACGACCTCGCTAGCGTGGAACAAGGTTAGCGTTAGTGCATTGCCTCTCGCTGCTGCAACAAGGACAGAAGCCCCAGCACGCTTAAGGCTACGTGGTATAAAGTTGTCTCTTGCTTTTCAATATGGAAAAAAAATGGGTTAAACAAAATCTCTAATGACACGAGAGCAAGGAAACAATTGACAAATGAAAATACATTCCATACAAAACAAAGCTTTTTTAAGAGGAGGAGGTCAGTGCAATCAAACCTGAGCTTTGAACCAGGTGCCCAACCAGCGAAAAATATAAATTATATAGGGAAAACCTATAGAAGAAAAGAACACGACAAAAAAATCACTCACCTCCACAAAATGATGCAACTTTAGACCATTTTACGTTTTCAAAGCAGCCGGCTTGGGGGAGGATGCCAGAGATCCCCATGTACTTTGGAGGACACACGGATCCTTGGCTGGTTCCAGAAGAATAGTAGCTTTGGGTTTTGTACAAAGGTACAACAAATCTGAACGCTGAGGTAGCACAGCCCCTTGACACTGAAGAGAAACACAGGAAAAAATGAAAATTCCAGGTATAGGACTGGGAGTAAGCAGGGAGTCCCACTGATGAGTTCCCCTGAACTCCAAGTGAGCCTCCAGGACTGACCTGGTGTCCTGGAGAAAGAAGAAGAACGGGAGAAGGAGATAGTATTTTGGAGTGACTTTTTATAAAGGCTGAGCTTCATTTCATATGTGAAAGCCTTCTTAGGCGGTTGGATGGCATTTCCACGGGAACCTGAGAATGAAAATCACGGTGTGAAATTAATCTAATGGCTTTTTTGTAGAAATATGATAAAGGAGCAAATTCAGTTGGGAAACGTGGGACTTGATTCAATGTAGAATCATTTCAACTCACTTTGGGAAGGAGGACTCCTTTCCATTTCTTTCGCTCTAAGTTTGACAGATGTGCTTTTCTCTAGGGTATAAAGAATAAGTATTGCTCGGAGCACTACACCTTTCTTGCACAGACCATTCATTCCTTACTCACTTCAGCAGCACTGCATCTTTTCTCTTTAAAATTGCAATATGACTTATGCTTGACATGGCCTGTACTAAGCAATCACAATATGTTAAGCTGGTGCATACCGAACACTGAACTCAAATACTGAACTCGGACAAAATCACCTTTGCATTCAGGTGCAGTTCCGCTCCAGACTCCGTTTGTTTTGTCCGTACTCGTACAACGGATGCTCACATGTCCAACGAGTTGGAAGCCAGAGTCACAGCTGTAAGTCACTGTTGAGTTATAAGCAAATTTTTCTACACCTTCGCCATTGTGCTTTCCATTGCTAATTTGAGGAGGTGAAGAGCAGGTAATTACTGCAGGAAAGAAGGTCAAAATGAGTATTGCAAAAAACTTCAGTAATAATGAAAATGCAAATTTTTTCTTGAGTCCACCTAAGGTTCTTGAAGACAATAAACCATTTGGACAATGGAAGATGGGTAACTAGCCCTGCCTTCTGCCAGGGCTCTTTTCTTTCTGAAGTGTTTCTGTTGCCACATCTTTCTCCCTCTCGCTCCAAGGGTCACAAAAATAAATAGGCAACTTGCCATGCCCTGGCTCGTGAGTCCTCAAAATCTCTTCCCATCACCTTCACTGCAACCTTAATTCATGGGAAAATATGTAGATCTCGTGGGAACAAAACTGCTGAAATACAGTGTCAGCAGCAAAATGGGTATTTCTCAGCTGCGGTGTTGGTGACAGATCTGCCACATAATATCAACAAAAACAAACGAAGTACGGAAACAGGTTTAGACTAGACATGAGTACGCAGGATCTACTGGAGAGAAGTCAGAAGTAAGGTTGGATTAATCTTACGTTCACAAGTTGGAAGTTTACTCCATTCAACATCGTTTCCTTTAAGCTGACACTGGATGAAATGACTCCCAGCTAGTTTGTACCTAAGTGAAAATACACAAGAAAAGAAAAACGTGTGTAACTATCCAGAAACTGAGAACAATTTTTTTTTGCCCGGTACCAGTATGATCAGGAGTGTAGAAAAGGCAGTTTTAAAGCGAGCAGACATGCAGATACAAGCTGGTTAACAGGAGAGCTCCTTCACCTTGCTCTCTCTGCCAGGATCCTTGTTAATCTATTTTTAGGCGATTCTCTCCTTTGACTCCCTGCAGAGCGCATCTTCCATTGCAAGGGTGGGAGAACTCGTAGCTGGTGGCTAGCAGAGCACGCAGTGAATGCCAGACAGCACTGAGGTTGGATGTGGATTCCCACATGGATGCATGGGGCTCGGATTTGCTGAATCAGGGACTATTTCTCCCTGCCTGCTTCCTGGCAGAGAACAGTACTGGGATTCAGGCTGCTGGCATCCAGCGCCTTTCCCACACCGCTGTCACGCACCAGGATGAGATGACGAGGTGAGGAGCTCCCTCCTGAGCACACACAGCATCTCGGAAGGCTGTGGCTCAGCCCCTGACTGCTGCTCCGCTTCGCGGCGGTGCTGCATTACTGAGGTCAGTTAGCTGGATCTGCTGCGATCCTCAGCGCTGGTGGTAGAGGGCAAGGCGCCCAGCCTCCTTCAGTGCCACCTCCTCCCTGGGACGTTGCTTTTGGGTTGTAAGGGTGTAGCTGTTTTGCTAAAGTTTTGCCAGAAACGCAAATTCAAATGCATCCACTGCATACAGCAGGGACCCGTGAGAGGCAACAGGGATCTACAGTTCATTAAAGTGGCTTTTGGATTGGCTTGCTGGAAGCTAATACCTCTTGTTCTGACAGCACCGACACCTTCCCCAATCTCTGAATTGCATCCTTCTGTTCAAAAAAATTCATCATTTAGACATGATTGATAGTATCTGACCTTGCTTAGATGGATAACTTTATCCCTCCACCCTGATGTGTATTGTCGAAGATTAACTGAACCCCAGAAGGGTGGGACAGGCTGTCATTTCCCCAAAGGCCATCCTAAGGGAATATCTGGAGAAAAAAAAAGCTCTGTTACATTTGAAGCAGCTGCAAAGACTGACAGAACAAGCCAGTTGATGCCAGCTAGCTCCTGCTAGGGAGGGAGGAATAGTAGCTGGAGTCTTAAGAGCTTAATTTCGCAAGTCAGTCTACTGCATACGTGCCCTGATTGAAAGCAGGCAGAAAGTGTGAGTCAGCGCTCTGACTGACGGAAAGTGTGCTTCATTGCAGTTTTCTAGCTGAACATCATTGAATTTTAAAAATTCAAACATAACCCCTTTTTATTCAATATATCTCAAATATGTTAAATTGAAATATTTTAGGTAACCTGTTTTGAAGTCTATGGTTATAAACTGATGTACAACCAGCTCTGTTGGGATAGATACCCTGGGGCAGTTAAATTTCCTCTGGATGTCACTTGAAGGAAAAGGCAGCCATAAATTCAGACCCCAGTCCCTTCCCTCCAGCTGTGTCTTATTCCCTCCCAGCCCAAAGCTGTAATTCAAGTGGGAAAAGCAGCCTCATGCTCTGCACTTGGAGCAACACCATAGGAGCGATATATTGTGAAATCTCAGCCCAGCCCGTGTCCATAAGTTCATTGCACTGGACTGGAGTTCATATTCCAGCATCAGCACCGCTGTACTGGAGCTCGGGGCATTGCCCCGCGACTCACCCGTCGTCGCAGAACACGTTCATTCTTGCACCGAACTGCAGGTCTGTGAGAGCGACCATCCCGCCCCCGGGCAGCGCTCCGGGGTCGCCGCAGGATCTCCCTGCCAGAGAACGAGGCCAGCGTTAGTGGTACCACACAGTGACGGAGGAATAAAAAAGGCTAAATAAGGGACGTAGGAAGCGTTTTACTTCCTACGTGTCCCAGCCGAGCTGGCAGGTGCCAGAATCCTCCGTAGATGAAGGTGTGGATCCCCGTAAGGGCTCCACGCTCACAGCGGTAAGCATCTCGCAGGAGGGCAGAGGAGAATATTTGCAGAGGTATTTCCATCTCAATAGATGGGCAGTAAGTTACTCAGCTGTGAAAAATGTATTGCTGCCACATCATCAGTCTTAATATTACATGGATTTCACCAAGAAACATGCTTTGTCTTAATTTTGAAGTTCAATGCTAGAATTGCAAATTGGCATTTGCCCTGTGCATATGCCGCGTCCAGATGCAAACATACTTCCTAATATGAAAATCAAAATAGATCTGTTTGTGCCAGCAGAAAAAAACCAACACGATTGATACTCCTGCTGTTCAGCCTGAAATATGAATGTCAAGGAATATCCACCTAATTTTGGATTAAACATGTAGCTGTTGGGAAGATAATGACCCAGCTGCATTTCAGCACGCGGGTTGGGAGCAGCTACCTGACCTGCTCCGAACTCCACAGCTGCTTTTCAGCAAGCAGAGTGGAGCAGAGCAGAGATACTCACTCCGGCACAGCTCAGCAGCTTCCGACCACACCAGGTTTTCAAGGCAAGTGCTGGTGGGGGAACTTTCCGAGGTGTTCTCGTAGCCAGGGCGGCAGACGTAGCTCACGTTGGTCCCAACAGGAAAGAAGTTAATCCTCTCGTCCTCCTTGGACAGGGCAGCAAACCGCAACCTTGTCGGGGCAGCACAGCTCCCTGGCAGTCAAGGAAAGCGGGCCTGAAAGAGCTGCCCGCCAGAAGGCATGCAAAATAAACCTCGGAACCACAGAAACGCTCTCACTACGGCGCTTTTGGAAAGCTCCTCGCGTTCATCGCAGGTTACTTGTGTTTTCATACCGGGCTGCTACTCTACTGAACGCATCTTTTGCAAAATGCAAATCAAGATGCATTAACTGCACAGGCAAAGCTGTTAGTGGGATATCGGCAGCCACGTGCACGTACTGCGGGGCAGCGTACGCTGCAGCCGCCTGCACGGCCTCTGCCAGCCAGGGCTCGGGAGACGCACCAGCATCCTGGGCTCCAGCCACTGTCCGACTGACCCCCTCGACAACAGGCACAGATCCTGCACCCATCAGCAGCTCTGACGAACAGCAGCTACGGGAAACGGGTTTGTGCCTTGCCGGGTTGGGTGGTGCCATTGCAGAGCAGCCGCCGTAAGCGGCAGAAACTTTAAGCCAAGCCAGAGACAAGCGAGGGAGCTGTGTTTCAGAGAAAGGAGGTATTTACGGCCGCAGGGCTCGGGCAGTTTTGACCAGCGTGCGCCGGGCAGGCACTCCACCGTGTCCGACCTCCCGGGAATTTTGATGGCGCCTTCAATGCATGTGTATGTCACCCTGGATCCAACGGGGAAGCTGCTGGCGTGCTCGTCGCTGGATGGTCTGGAGTGGGTCATGAGAGGTGGGGACCCACAGTCACCTGTGGCAGGAGAAGACCTCCTCAGGTGAGGACCCCGTTTCCCTGGCCCCTTCCCCAACCCCAGCAAGCATCCCAGGAGTGCAGCTGTGCTGGCCCAGGCTTCCCCTCTGGGCAAAGGCACCGGGCAGGGCTGCATCCATGAGAGCATGAAGCAATGGTTCCCCATGCTTAGGGGTGGTGGCATCACCCCCCCAGCACCTGAGCAGCAAGTGGGACCCAGGCAGATCTCTCTGGTCCTCCCCATGCATCCCACATCCCCGTACTCACCGCGAGCCACTGGCATGCCTAGGAGCCCCAGCAAGGCCAGGAGCAGCACAGGGTGGCCAGACCCCCATGCCCTGGCGGGTGCCCCGCAGCTCAGGGTGCCTGGGTGCTTCCCCCGCCCTGGCTCTCCAGACTTCATTGCAGCAATTTCTGTGCTCCTCTGTCGAGCACCGTTGGCTCCAAGGGGCTGTTTCTGAAGCTGGGAGGAGATGCAGCACAGCAGACTCAGCCAAGCCTCTGGAGCAATGGAAACCTTTCCAGAACATCCGTGGAGCTAAATCCTCCTGCAGGGACATGGAGAGCAGCCAGGGGTGGGGGACAACTGTCATCCACAGGCTTGGGTAAAGCCTCCTGGTCCTCCTGCCCCACTGTAAGGAATGAGGGAATAACTCAACCCTTTTATTTGACCTGAGACAGGCAGTGAGCACTGACTAGCACAGTTTTACCAAAACCAAATGCTACCAGAGCAGAAAAGACCCCCACCCAGCCCCAAGCTGTATCCAGGGTAGAAAAATGCCTTCTTAGTCATTTGCTGGCAGGTAAGCAACACAGATTTTCCATAAGCAGAGTTAGTGAAACAAAAAATAAAAGCATTATCCTTTTTGTTTGTTAATTTTTTTCTTGATTGCCTGACTCATTTGTAATTAGGGATGGGTGTAAGCGAATACATCTGTGCACTGACTAATGGTCTGAAATATCCCATCTGACAGCAGTCAAGACTACTCAGACACAGTCTTAGATACACACGGGATGTAACACCCAGTTCTTATTCATGCTTACGGGTTTCGAGCCTTGCACAGAGAGATAAGACACTTTCTGTCTGCAGTCCCAGGTCAGCACAACGTGGAGAAGAGCGAGGCGTCACACCAGGAGGGTGCAGCCCTGCTCTCCTTGTGGCACAGGGAGAACCAGGGTGGGTCTGAGAGTGCCTCTCATTGCAGATCTCCTCGCCGGGACGTGGTGAAGCACAGGATGCATTATCAAAGCATCTTTCTGTGTAAGGATGGGAGACGCCATCTCTTCCCTGGGTGTTGTGCTTTAGGCTCTAGTAACATTTAAAGCAACTCTAATAATTCATAAAAGCATGCATCTGGCAATGATATACTGCTGCAAATTGCTTGTGCAGGAGATGAGTGCTCCCCCTTCTCCCACTGAGCGCAGGCAGCAGCGCACTGCTGCGCTGCACGGTGCCCTCCCCCCCGCGGCTGCCTGCCGTGCCGTGCCGTGCCGTGCCGTGCCCGCTGCGGCTCCCAGAGCGCCCCGAGGACTGACCCGGGCTGCCAGGGCTCGGCTCTCAATCAGAACCACCACTGTACCACACTGGAAATCTGCCTAATTTACGGGCAGCGTGACAGATTACAAGACACCCATGGTTACACCTGCATCTTTATTGTAATCCTGAAGGGAAGGAGTAATCGCTGCATCACAGAGCTACATAAACTGATCATCGTTTGTTAAGTAATAAGAACAATCTTTCCTGTCTGATTCTCGACACTTAAACTTACAACATCTATTCTTAGCATTTGCTTGCCGGAAATAGGGACACGGAAGATGACACCGCCACAGATATCTGTCGAGTACAGGGCTGGGCCAGAAACCTGTTGCCTGTTTTAAATCCAGGGATAAGGGAACAGAAGCCTTTACTAATGCACTTCTTATATGTAACTGCCCTAGATGAATACAAATCACTAGATTAACAGGAAATCACGTAGTTAAACGCTCACTTCACTACTATTTCTAGATAGAAGTATACTAATGCTGTGACAGGCTGAGTTCGGTACGGGCAGAGGATGCAGCATTGCGCAAACCACCGGCTGGAAGATTACAGCAGAAGCACCTTCAGAGAGCCAGACACTCGTCTCAGCTGGAAGTTTACTTCTGTGGACTTCAGTCCCCCTTCTCTCGGCTTAGCACAGTTATGCAGTGACTCAAAGAACCTCAGTTTAATTTCTTACTATGCTTCCTAAAATAAAATGTGAAACAACTCGTTTGTTCCATAGGGAATCAAGCTTGTCAGACTTAAGGAAAAGAGCAAAAACCCTTCTATGCTCTAGCATCTAGCATGGCAAAAGCAGTCTCCCATACATTGGTTATTATTTCTCTGGCTATATGCATGCAAGCATGAACCGTACAGTCACTGAGAGCCTTCTTATAGATACTGTGACTACAGGAACTGCATGTTCACCAAAGGTGATCGTTACAGGACTCACACGTTCAAGTTTTCTAGTTCCACCTTTAGTTTTTTAATCTCCAGAAACAGTTTCTGTATTTCCAGCAGAGTTTTCAGTTCTGCTATAGGCACACCACATTCAAAGACCGTTTTAATATAATGAATCTCTTCGCACACATCAGCATCACCTTCTTTCTTCTGTTAAAAAGTAAAACAAAACAAACAAAACCCAGAAAAAAGCATGTAAGATTGGGCTGCAGCAGATGGAGAGCCACCCACTCCTCAGCTCTGAGCCTGAACTTCTGTCCCGTTTGCCACGCGCTGCCCCAACGCAGTCTGCATCCCCCACCGGTACCATAAACCAAAAGCACTTAAGAAGCTCGAGCAGTTATTTTTTGTATTAGAAATCAGGCAGCATCCATCCAGGAACTCAGCCAGACTACAGTACTTACACACTTGGGCAGTGGTGTCCAGCTGCCATCAGGCAAGCACGTGGCTGTCCAAGAGTCTTCTGAAGACTTGGCTCCGTTGTCTGAAAAGTGGTATCCACGAAAGCATTTAAAAGTAACAGTCGCATTTGTTTGGTACCACATTTTACCATCCGAAATGCTTTTCAGCCTTCCGTTGGCCACTTGTGGTTGTGGACACAGAACTGAAAGGAAAACCCACAGCAGAAGGCAGCTCAGCAAGAGGGTCATCATTATGTAGGTGGAAAAAAAATCTACGAAGTTTGTGAAGACTGAGTCAGTGCAGGCGAACTTAAATCTGTGGAGCTGTGAAACCAAATGTTAAAGCAAAGTTACTTCCCCAGGCCCTTCAGGAGGGAAGGGTGAAGGTCAGAACAGCCCCTGAGAGGTGTTAGGCATTTGCTGTTTTGTGACAATGTCTCAATCCAGGCATCCCTATGCAAGAGTCTGCAGATCGACATTTGTCAGTAAGAATGCGCACTGAAGAGAAAGTCAGTAACGATGGTGTCTCCTGACCTGTCTTAGAGCCTCCTTTATACAGGACTGTCAAGAAAAATTCAGCTATCGCTGGGTAAACATCAGCTGTTTCTTCTGCAAAAAGGGGAAGGCACTAGGGGAGCCCCGAGGACAGACACAGCTACGCAATGCTGCACCCCAACCTCCCTGCACTGTCGCAGGGGCCGCTGGCTCGGCTCCCGGCTGGTACCCACCTGGCCGGCAGGTGGGCAGGGG